CTTACCCATCGTGCAGCTCCATTACATCTCCGCTGTTTCATCTCCCACAGATGAGGGAGAGGCGTTGCCTTCCAGCCCCTGTCCTTGGGGACATTTGTGGTTATACATCCCACACGTTCTTAAGTTTTTACAGCCCCATTACTCACAGGGATGGGGGGGAAGGGAGGGGAGTAGGGGGAGAGTTCCCTGTTCGTTAGTTTGAAGAGAACTGTGTTATGAGCTTTCCAGACTCGATCACACTGTGTCATCGTTCCCGTGCCTGCATCACAACATCACATCTGTTCGTGAGCTGCGCTGCAGCAGAGGAGTTTACAAAATGGGCCACAACCACTTGATTTTCATCCAGACTGTGCTGGTGGTGGCACCACTCGGCTTCTGAAAGAAAACAGTCAGCAGACACCCCTCGTGACATATCCCAAACTAACATCTGCCACAAGGGGATGAAGTTTTGAGGGAGTGCCATTTTGTCATGTTTCCATATGGACGAGTGTTTCTTTGGACTTCAGTGCTGGCAGAGGACAAAATCCTTTTGCTAGGAAGCAAGTTATTCATATTGTCATGACTCAAACAAGAGGCAGAATTCAAATACTGGATTTTTGCCTGCTGTAGGTTAGGGGGTAGAATCACTGACTGAACAGCTTGCTGGTACTGGCATAAAGATGCACAGAAACTGATGTTTATTGTCTCTGTGGTTCTCTGTGGTTGCACGTGGTGTCATTACAAACAGGAGAAGTGAATTTCTGGTTAGGTGGTTAAATTTGTGTATTGTAATTGCTAGGATAAAATATACTGAGTAGAGAGAAATCTTTCTGGTAACGTGCCTTGTGTTCTGATATACTCCAGCTGCTAAAAACTGGGAAAAAAATCATTTCCTATGTGATCAGTATCCTAAAGGATGTTTCACATTCACTGTTAGATTCCAAATGTAGATGACTCCTGTGTTTTGTAGAATCAGGTTTAAACAAATTGTACTGCCCTTTGACCTTTTCATTCCTACACGAACTGTCATTTTTGTGTACTGCGTCCCTTCTTTCATAGACATGTTATCGTATTCCTGGGAATAAGGAGAAAAGGCAATAAGCCATTTCAGTCATGATGAAAGACAGAAATTTTCTTTCACAGTCATCTACTTTAAAACAGTTTTTCATTTATTGTTTCCAGATGGGAATAAAATTCTATATTGCATTTTTTCCTCTAACTGAAGTATGTAATTATATCTAGTAATGCAAAGCACTTTGTAAAGAAAGAATATATATATTTATAAAAAAACCCAGGAAACAGATGTTAAGCTTAGAATGTTGAGATACTGTGAAGTACAATTATGCATTAGCCCATGATGTCCTTCAAATACTTTTTGGGATATTAACTAATAGTTTTATTAAGTGATGAAATCTAGTATTCTGTGTGCAATCTGTGGTATGGACAGCATTGGCTAAGTATGACTGTTCAGAGCATAACAGCTGCAATTTAATCAAACCTGTATGGTAAAGATCTTCAGTGTAGGTAAGACTGGAACAAACTTGCCTTAAAGCTTCAGGTTAGAATGTGATATTTATATCTGAACACTGCAAAGTTTGAAAGATTGATTTATCCAGATTTGTCATGTAGTCATGCAAAGTTTTCTGTTTAGCTTATTATTCTTTTTTTCCTTCTGAATGCCTCACTCTGAGTTTCTGATTATAAAAGGTAAATTTAAGACCACCAATGGTACTTAAAATTGAATGACAAAAGAAACAGTGAGTCATGAGGTATTTTTGTCTTGTGTTTGGTTTGTGTTAATAATTTGTGTTCTGCTAAAATTCACAAAGTTTATTGTTATGATCCTCGAGTACCTCCTTGGAGATCAGTTAGTCAGTAGGACCTTTGATTCAAAGCACATGCAGCATATTTTAGCTGTAGCTTTAGATACAGAAAGTAAGCAAAGAAAGGAGTTCACAGTGGAGTCGTTTGCAACCTCCTCATCTCTAGAAAGAGATTTGAGTGTCCAGAACATACCTGAAACCTTTCAGTGCTGTGGGTGGAATGAGATACCCCTGCAACACCATCTCCTACATCTCTTTCCCAGTTCACAGAATATTCTTGGTTGGAAGTACAAGCAGCTAGATTGTATTAGGGTTCCCAGATACATAACGTGTGTGTTGTATGTGCATTTCTGATACACGTGACCAGCAATTTACTTTCTGAAGAATGCGAGTTTTTTGATATTGGGCGACTGACGGGCATCTTTTTAAACCAAAATGATGCAGTGGAATAGTCAGTAATGTTTTTGAGCTTACATTTGTGACTGTCACTGCGTACAGGGACCTGTAGTGACAGTTGAAAAGTTCAGTTAATTAATGCCAGGCATTTTGTGTCCCATTAGTACAGAACCAAGGGAAATTACTTTAAATGACAACAGTTGTGTTCTTAGTCTTGAAAGTTATCGACAACAGTGACCGCAGAAAACGTGGGGTTTTTTTGCATGGGGGACAACTAGAAGAAGCAGTTCTGATTAGTCTTATTTAGCTATGGCTGCTGAACACCATGGTTTTAGTTCCTTGTAGAGGAAGTGTAGTTTTAAACTCCCTCTTGGCCACATCCCCCTGAAGGAGATCAAATGTGAGACCAGAAGTATTCCGCATGTTACTGTAAGATCAGCAAGTAGTGGGTTTGGGGTTTGGTGGGGGCATTTTTTTAATCCTCTTGAAAGGAAAACACTTTTGAGATTTTAGAATTTGGTGAATTTTCTATCAAATGATTTTTGGTCTTACAAAAGCTGGAATAAAGTAACACTTTTGGATGTAGAAATTCTAATAAATCATTTATTACTTTAAAAAAAGTTTACAAAATAGTCAAGTATTGAAGAGGCTGCTATTCAGAAGATGCAAAATTTGAGAGGAGTAGCAAAGAATTAAGTTTGTTTTCTGTGTTGTAGGATGAGTTATTTTTAAGAACTTGGCAGATTCAGAAACATGTTATGAAACTTGACTTTTATTAGTTTCTTATAACTGTGTTTTTGAGGATTGAATTAAGTACTTGTAACTAAGAGATAACCATTATACTAGGCTTGTGGTCCCTAGCTCAGGTTTCAGCCCTTTTTTGCCATTTCTCACATTTTAGAAATGTATTTTATAACTGATAAGCAAAAAAATCAGATAACTACTAGGATGCTTCATACAAATTAAGTTTACAGGATTTTCTAAAGCTTAAAAAAAAGAGAAAAGTTTTCTGAATTCTGTTGCTTTATTTTACAGAACTTGTTCTATGCCATTTCACTTTTGAAAATACATTCTAGCTGGACATCTGAAATCATTAAGGGCATAGACAAGTTGTTCCGTTTGAGGTGGGCATATAAAATTTGTATGGATGCGTGGGAGCCTTTTCTTTTCTCTTTTTTTTTCATGAAACCAGCTGCCTCCAGCTTCCAGTGAGAGCCAAGTTCACTGCACTCAGGCTTTGTGTGCATCAAATTGTGTGCCATCCATTATCAGTATAGCTGTTACTGTAATGTGGAGCTTACATGCCTGAGATAGAATAGCTGTTCCACTGAACAATGTAACCACCGCTCTTAGACATTTATGTGATAGGATCTTAGACAGAAACTTTCAAAGCTGCTTTCAGAAGTGATTTGATAGAGTTTGGGTTTTGTACACGTGTTTGTCAGAGGAAAGGGGAGTGTTGAGAGAGCGTTTTTAAATCTTGGTCTAAAAATCAGTGCTTTTTAAAAGGTGAGTTCGTGGAAGTTAGCAGACATGAGGATGAACAATCCAGGCCGACCTTGTACAAACAGAGAGAGAAGATCTAGAGGCACAACTAATATTGCTGATTAATGATCTGGAAAGAATTTGTAAAGAGTTGCATCTAATAACTAAATCTGGGAGCAGTGTGTGTTGTCAGACGGAATATCTATGCCATCAAAGCAAAGAGGAGAAATGGTCTGAGGGAACCTGACTGGAGTGTGCAGAATTCACAGGGCAGAAGAGCAGGCAGTGCAGTGCCCAGTCCTGGGCCTTTTCCTATATGGTCACAGCACAGGGAGAAAGGGAAAACCTGAAGTGAAAACCTGAAGTGAAAACCTTGTTGTGCATGTAACGTGGTTCTTTATCCAAGTTCACTTATTTCTTGCAGGATAAAGACTAAAGGCTGTATCGTACCATATTGCACAGAGTCTAGATGCTGGTTTGTCTCAACTTTTAAAAATAGTTGAACTTTCTTGGTTGACTGTATGTCCTTAATTTTGTAAATAATAAGAATTAAAGAAATGCAGCCTCCATATTCTGTTCTACGTCTCATGTTCCTTAACCCTGCCGAGCCTCAGCTGGGGATTTGGTTTGGCTTTGATTTGGAGGTTTGTTTGCATTTTGCTATTACCTTTACTTTTTTTTTTCTTTCCTTTTTGACCTTTTACATTTGTACAAAATGTATAGCATCCTGTGTCTCTTTTCAAGCTGTCACTCTGCTTTTAAGCTGCCCCTGATTAATTCTATTTATTTTATAGCCAAGCACTTTTAATTACTGGAGTCTTCTCTGAAATAACAGGGGTAACATTTCAAACGAGTAGTGGAGCAGCTTTGCAAATGATGAGGTGTACCTTAATTACTAAATGGCCAACTCTAAGGATACTCCAATTAGAGACATTCTCATATTGGTATCTAAGAAGTTATTTCACTCTGACAGGAAAGCAACTAACCCTTACCATCTTCTGAGTCTGAAAACAGCTACTGTCTAATTTTCACAATAGTTTGCCTTTAAAATTTTCTTTTAATTGCATAATCCGTGCTACAAAGGGAATGGGATCCCTATCTCAAAGGAAATTCAATCTCATCTCTTTCTTCTTATTTTCTTTTAAGCCAAAATTGCTTTCAAATGTTTTCACCTGTCCCTACTGTTCCAAACCCGGCTACTGCAATTCAGCATTGTTTGGGTTTCAGAAGCGTTACTGCTAATACTTACTCCATATAATTTCAAGGAGTTTTGTGTATTGTTTTCCTAATGCTTTAAAGCTTCTTCTTCACTCTTAGGAAATGGCGAAGATTCTCAATCATCCCAGGGTGTATGCTTTTCTGCACATACCAGTCCAGTCAGCCTCTGACAGTGTGCTCATGGATATGAAGAGAGAATACTGCGTGGCAGACTTCAAACAAGTAGTGGATTTCCTTAAAGAAAAGTAAGTCTCCTAATATTTGACAAAATAACAGTGTTGCGTTTGTTGCAGTGTCAAGGACATGTGGCTGAAAACACAGTTATTTGCAACTTCATAATTAAGGTATGAGAAAGAACGAGGTTCTTTAAGCTTTCAAAGTCTTTGAGTTTTCTCTAAGCCCCTTGATGTGGTTTGCCCCGTTACTTGAGGTTTTATAAGCATCTTAAATCTCTGCATGACGTGCTTTTAATTTGTCAATATATTCCTAATCTTTTTCAAATAATACATTCCTAAATATTTTTTTTATACTGAAAATACTATATATAGATCTCTTGAAGTTGAAGTTATTGAAGTTGTCTTTAATGTGGCTTTTGAGCATTGTATACTTTGTGTACTGGAGATGTTCCAGTTCCAGCAAATGTAAATGGGTTGGTTTTGTGTTTGTTTGTTTTAATAAGTATTTCATGTCCTATATCTTAGGTAAATTTACTTCAGTATAATAATACTCCAGTCTTGCTTATGGGACTGATTAATTGTAGGATAAGTTCAAAATTATTTCCCTTAACAACAGAGCTAATTGTGAGAAATAAAATGTATCATTAATGTATTTACATATGCTGACCTGAAGTTGAAAGTTACATCCACCTGCAAAGCTTTTGTAACTACAAGTAATAATTTAATATCCAAGGAAGCTTTTTCTTAGTTTTTAAAAAGTTAATGGTGACATATTTGCATTGATTGGCAAAAAAATATGTGTGTGGAGATAGAATTAGTTCTGTCACCTTGTTTGGCTACTTTATCTCTTTTTGCTTCCTTTGTTTGTATGCTTGTTCAGTGACTTAAGGACAGCGGTGTTTGACTCTTAGATTGCGTTAAAATACTTGTACATAAACCAAATTTTCATAACATTTTCCATAACCATTTTATATTATTATTATTTTTGGAAAATCCAGAAGCCTAGCTATGTAAAACACGTCATGCAATATGTCATGTAATGCGATATGTAAGAAAGAGAAGCAAACTGTGACACAATAGAATCTGTTTTGCAAACTGCATGTGTAATTTACAGCACCGTCCTGTACATCTAGGACAGCTGATGGAAACGGAGCTGCTTGTCTTCATACAGCTTGATTTGCCTTAACTTTCCACCATAAACAATGCCCATGGATTCTTGGCACTAGGTGTGAATTAAGAGATATATTGCATCCCCGTGTATCTTAAGTGGAACTGTGTTGGTTTATGTCTGAGTTGACTTGAAGCTGATTCATTATTCTCCTGCCTAGTTTTAGCATTGGCAGCTATTATCATAACAGCAGCTGGATTTTCGATAACCTAGTATAGCTGGCACATGTTGGGGCATATGGGAATTTATTAAATCATTCAGCTCTTGCACATAGAAAAGAGTGAATTACTTAATATCCAAATTTAAAACAGCTGGTCACTGAATAGATAGTAATCTATGTCATGCGTATTTTTCCATGGGCTTTTTTGTAGTGAACTTAGCAAGGAAGAAATAATTGGTTTGATCTCTTAATTTTAAATAATAATAAACTTTATTTATCCTGCTTATTAAGAAACTACCAAATTATCTAGGAGTTCCTGTTAGAAAATAGTCTCCAGATATTGAGATGGAAAATTCTTGGTACCATATGGCAGCAGTAGAAAGAAGCTATGCAAGGCAGAGAAAATGTTTTGGATATTTGAACAAGTGCTTATCTGTAAAATAATTTTTTTTTTCTTTGCACTTAAAAGCATAAAGTTTTCATTTGTAGGCTTTAGTCCTAGGGCAGCAGCCAGCTATTACATTCCCATGTAAATATTCCTATAAAGATTTCAGCACAAAGTTTGCCAGAACTCAGCATTGCTGCAGAGAACTCCAGAGCCTAGAGCCAGAAGAGCTAAAATTAAGTATGTGTTTTAACTACTTTAATAGCCAAAAGATATTATTTCTATCTTCCATTTATCAAAAAAAAGAAAAATGAAATGAAGTAGAACTCCCTCTATCTCCTTTGTCTAATGCTGGGGCCATAAAGTCATCTAGAGGCTTCCTACAAAAAATGTAGGGGGGCCTATCAGTAGATTCCAAGTGTCACCTTTCTCTCTGAAATGTGATGTCTGCTGTGATAGTGACTTTATCAAAAACTCTATTAAACCAATAATTATATAGCCTGACCTGCTGAAGAAGTAATACCAGGCAGCAAGGAACTATATGGTTATCAGTTAAGTGTTTAATTACTTGCCTTCGATCATCTAAGCCCATAAAAATGAAGTATAACAAGTAAAAATGGAAAGAAAAAGGAAAAAAGAACGAACCATGTCGTAATTTTACTTTTGGAATCTCAAAGATAGATCAACTGTCTTCTGAATATTTGTCTCAACTGGGCCAACAAAACACTGGGGGGCTTTCTTCTCCAAGAAGCAGCAAATACCCTTCCTTCCTCTATAGAGCTGTGAGTGACTGCAGACGTATCATCCTCTCAGAGTGGGGATTCATTTATATCCTGCTGAGCACTGTATGCCCTACAGAGAAGTTAGAGTTCTCCAAGAGTGCTCTAGATAGAGTACTCTTTGTATTGAATCTCACTTTGTAAAAGAATGGAGCATTCTTGACCCTCTGGGACTGTGAGGTTAGAAATGTCACTGTTCTCCTCTCTTTGAGGACTCTCTTCAGGCACGAACCAGGGAAATGAACTTGAAAATTAGCATTGGCATACTAGAACTGTCTTTTGGTGTGCAACACTTCGTATTTCAAAGCCACTCTCCCCAGCTAGGTGACAACATTTTGGTTTATTATGAAGATCAATTAGCAAAATTCATAGAATATAAAGCAAGAGAGGCAAATCCATTGGACTGTGAAAAATTGACGTACGGAAGGCTTGTTTTATACTTTTTTTTTATAAATTCCTTCTGTGATATTTTGGACTTTTTTCCCCACTTAAATTTAAGTAAATGCAAGTATTCAAGAAAATACCATTGAGCGGTTGATATGTCAGTAGCTGATTTACAGATATAATGTGCATCTATATTTACTGAGGATATAATTGTAAACTAGTCCAGAGAGCAACAGCATAAAGTTGATAATTGCATTGATTAATTTATAGGGTATACATAGTCTGTAGGGACTAAGGACTAGTGCCCCACTCTGGGGATTTATACAGCAGTCTGGAGGGAGTATTTCCAAGACTGATTCCTGGATGAGATATTAGTTCAATGTGTTTGCAAATAAATACAGGATCTTTAGAAATTACTACTAGGTGAATTTAATCCAGAGACCAATTTAGTCTTATATCAGAAAGTCTTTTAATTGCGGTGTCATTATATCAAAATGTGAGTTGTTTTTCAAGTGATCTCAACTTTCAAGATTCAGCATAGATTATATTTCTGAAAGGTGATGTTTGTAGTTGCAAAAAGAGCAAGACAGCTTTAATTATCTCAAAGTTTTGAAACTTAATCCCCTGAAATCTACTTTTGCTGATAAAAGCAACCAATTGGAATATATTTTAGTTAAAGAAACCTGAGATCTGAATGTCATGTTCTGTAATTGCTTGAATAATCAGTGATGTGAACATATACCCATTAAAAAATCCTTAGACTGGTAATGTGTTTTCCAAATGTCTTGTTTGCTTTTGTTGTCCAGACTATATTCTCTTACCCTTATAGTTTATGAAGAGATTATGATGTTCATCAAAGTTTATATTCTTCTTTCTTATTACTGCTGCTTGATAAGAGAATTGTAAAACCAAAATTTAGATGAATAAGAAAGTAGGGAATTTAGAGCTAGACTGAGACACTGTATCTTTTTGTTTTGGAAAATAGCGTAATGCTGAGGAAAAGCTGGGTTTGCCTCCCAGTTTGCTTTTGTTTGTGTTCCGAGAGAGAAGCATAATATTAATTGTGGGTGGCTGCTGCTGCTCACTTGAGACCATCTCATAATTCAGGCTGGAAACATCTGAGCTTTCCAATATCATTGGAAAGCCAGCAAACTTGGGCTGCCAGAGGGGAAGCCACAGCTCTGCCAGGCGGAAAGTTCTATTCTTTTTTTCACTAGTTCTCGCTCCTCCATTAAAATAAGACCTGCTAGTAAACCTCTCCTAGCATCCATTTAGTTGTAATCATGTCTTGATTTTTCAGCATATGTAGATACATTATTAAAGGCAGTTGGAAAAAGGCAGTAAAGGACCAAAAGTAGTAAATGTGTGCAGTGGAAAATAAATCATGGGCTTGGAAGGAAATTAATCACTCAAGTGTAAACTCAAATCCTAGTTGCCTACAGCAGTTACAGACAACTGCCCAATGTCTGAAGAAACTAGAGATACTGTCCAGATTGAGAGAAGGTGTTGTATAGTCCTCTTGGGACAGCTGGCTTCAGTGAGGCTCCCTTCTTCCCTGTTGCTTTACAAGGAGTTAGGCCAGCAAACGTAGGTTCAGCGCTTTCCTAGGCCACTCTTAATTCTGTTTTTAAGGGTTTGGAGGGACTCAGGAGTACTGTCTTGTGCTTCTTGTTATCTGCCCTGACTTTGTCTCTTTTGTTGCAGTGGCAGCCAGGCTGCATCTGCTTGGGTGTTACTCAGACTGCTTCAGGGTAGAGTTGCGTGGCTGGGAGCAAAGTGGACCCTGCTGCTGTCTCCTCCCACTCGTGTTAGTCAGTTTTTACAGCAAGATTTGCATGTAACTTGTAACTCTAAATAATTTTCTTCTGAAAGATGGTCCATATAGTAAGCTCCTGAATATTGCTAAATCCACATGGAAAGATAAACAACTAAATGAATCATCTTCAAATTTGCAGCTATTCCAGACAATCTGCTGTTTTGAAGCTGTCCCAGGCCTTGTGGCAGTAGTATTGTCTTTATCACATTAATGTGACTCTTACTGAAACTAGAATTTGAAGGCAATGAATGGAACAATTTTTAAACAACCATTTACTATTTTTATATACCTTTTTCTACTCAGTTTCAAAATGCAGGTAATTATGAATAGACTGTAACAAATCCCTCACTTTTTTACAGTGTAAATAAATGTGTTTCATTTTCCTTCTCAAAATGCACATTTGTTTCTCAGAGAAGAGACATTGTTGAGCTCATTTTGCAGATGTGCAAATCGTGTCCCTAACAAACCGTGACAAGTCTTTCAGATTTCGGCTTTTTTAATGGGTTTTAGTACATCTGTTCTGTCAGTCTAAACTACTGCAAATGTCATCTGTTTAAAATCCTTGTGACGTTTTCTGCTAAGAAATTGCTGAGTGTATTTGGTACTTATCTGTAATTTTATACTTCAGTCTCCGGACTCTTCACTCTGTCTTTTGTCTGCTCCTGGAGTCTGAACTAATCACTTTACCAAATGTGTCGCTTTTTTTGTTCTACATGAATTGAGTGTTTTTAGAGAGTATTGAGTCAGCACCAAAAGCTAAAACATGGCTGGTTTTCACCAAACACACAGAGCACAAAGGTACATTTAAGTTTGTGTCTAGACTTGAGCCTAGTGTTTCATAGTGCAGTTTTTGATAGTCTGTAAGCTCTTACCATAGGATTAGTTGTCTTTAGGTGTCTTGAAATATAAATTTGGGCTTGCCCAAAGTAGTTGCCAAATTTATAAGCCTTCCTGCCTTGCATTTGATTTACAAGGTCATGGAAAGACATACAAGTAGGTGACAGGTTTCAAAGGTGCTGAACACTTTCAGGTCCATTAATTTCATTATAATATATTTATACTTAGCATACAACTACCTAAATTTTAAAAGTTTCTTTTTGTTTGTTTGTTTTTGGAACTTACTGGGGAGAGGCAGGCGTTAGGCATTTCAGGATGGTTTTTTGTTTGTTTGTTTGTTTGTTTTTTTCTGTAACATTACTTCTACCAAGCTGAATGTTGTTTTAGGAGGGTTGTTTTAGTTTGGGTTTTTTTTCCTAGTACTCCTATTACTGTTCCACTCCCTTAGTAAGAAGTGGAGGGTGAAGCCTGGGAAATGAAGTTCCCACGGGATGAGCACAGCTGATGGAGTGCAGGCTTAGTGTGCACACAGGGCATCTGCAGTTCAGACACTTGCAGGTCACACCACTGGGATGTTCTGCTTTGGCCAAAATTTGGAGGAATCATTTTTTGAATGGATGCTGGAAAGAGAAGGTACACTTCCTTATTAAATAAAAACAATTTAGTCTTATTATTACACTTTTCATATGAGCTGGCTTACTCTTTTTACTAAATAGAACTCATGAAGTTGTTTGGAGTGATACTTTCCATATGCAGTTATGGTTAGGCTTTCCTTTTTCTGGGAACCTTATCTGCAGTTTCCTTCTGTAAAATCCTAATGGCAGTATTGTCAGATGATAGAGTAGAAATTAGTAAAATACATCCAATTCCATTTCTTTAGTGTACCAAGATGGTATCTTTTTTTCTTTTTCCTCTTCCCCCTGAGTGTGTGTAAATGTGTTTTTTTGGAAGTAATGATATAGGATCTGCAGTAAGGGTAAAAAGGAAGGGATTTTAAGCATCATACAGTAGTAGAATTAAGTATTCTTAGAGTGTTTAATATTTATAATGTTAAAATATCTGTTTTTGCTTATTAAGAAATATTTCTCTGGTATTTTTAAAGAAAATAACTAAAATCACTTTTTTTTTTTTTAATGAATACATATTTTCATTGTGTTTCAATGTCTTGAACTTAGAACTCAAGGGGGATTCCAATTTGGTTTTAAGACAATGTGACTTTATTCGTGTCAGTTTGCTTGTCAGCAGATTGATTTGATGTGTAATGCTCAGCTTTAATTTGCTCCTGTTTTTAAGTGTATCCAAACATATTTTAAGATCCGTAAGTATTTATTGTGATAGGATATTAGTATTCATACAAAGCCAAGATATGCTCAGATGTGAAAATTCTGATGACAATATTAAATTTTCATATTTCATACTTTTACCAGAAGTATTTGTTTATTTAGGTGTGTACATGTTTCTGATATTAGGCATCATACTAGGTAATAAATTAATTGTGAAAGCCATGTTATTCTGATAATGTAGGACAATACAGCACAAAAGAATTTTTGATGAAGGTGGTAGCTGACCAGCTGATAAGCACTGATTGAAGTTACATTTATGTTGAGCTTTCAGTGAAAATAAGTTGGAAAGAATAATTGAAGAAATAAAAAAGCAATACTTCTACTTCTATAGCAAATCAGTACCTTGAATGGTTATTTTCTTTAAACCTAAGATGAGGAAATGGAGAAAACTAGTAAGTGGAAATATGAAAAAGCTGTTAAACTACTTTAAAAGTGTAGCTATTCAATTAAACCACCATTGCATGCAAAAGGCATGGTTGTTGTGTTATCCAGAATTTTTGTGTGTACGTTCATTTGGGGACAATGCGATCACAAATTACTTCAAGGAAGCTCAGTTTTGTATCCATGTGCATCTCATTTTGGTCTGTTATTTGTACTCGTGAGTTGGTGATTCACCTCTTTTTAATGAGAGTGCAATTTATAGTTGTAAACTTCTTATTTATTTCGTGGTAAAGTAATCACAAACATGAAATTTTAAAAGATTTGTGCATTAGAGTAGTAGCTATAGCAGATGAAAGTTTATTTTCCACAGCTGAATCGCTTATCGCATGCACTTACAATTTTTTTTTTTGTCTTTCTATTTTGCTTCTCATCATTACAGAATTCTCATTTTGTTTAGTAGGAGAAATTGTCAAAGTACAGCTGTTAAATTACTTCATAACAGGAAGACAATATTGCAAATATGGTTATATGTAAAGGCACAAGAAGCAATATAAATCCTTCTCAAACCACTTACTGGAAAATTGGGATTCAGATGCAAGTTCAAGCTGGAAAATATGTTAGTGTGTCCAAGCACCTTAGGCATAGGAGAATATAAAGCCAGAGTGGCTGATTGTAAGCCATTTCATCTTAAATCTGGAAAAAATATAGACCCAAAAGCCATAGAAATTAACTGTCTTCTGGCTTGCTGTGTCGGATGCTTCCCTGGTTGGCTTTCGAATGATCCATGACCCTGAGCAGGAGAGGCAACTTTGAGATCAGAGCACAGTTCCATACAGACTTGCAGTCAGCTTTGGGCTAATAACTTTTGGACACTACAAACCCCAACAGGTTTGAATCAGTCTCCTACAAAAAACCTCGTATTAAAGAAAAATACTGGTCTCTCTGAACTATTTGTCTCCATTGAAGGCTGTTTGTTGAGTCAGATTGCAACATAAGCCTTTAACTTTCTTACACAAGTGGTAAACACTACATTTGAAAAATGGGTCATGTGGTCGTTTGTAGCTCTACTGCTGAGCCTTTGTGTGTGTGTCTGTGTCCCACAGTAACTGGGCACAGTTATTTTTTAGCCCTAGTGCTTGGTGAGAGGAGATCTACTGTCTGTCATGGTCTGGCTGCATCCGAGACTCTGCAGGGCGAGGGAGGGAGACAGATGGATTGTAGGTTCGGATTTGAACAATAGGCTGGCATGATTTCTCCGCTGTAGTGGGATGATCGCTCCCACACTGTTGACTTAAGTTTTGGGGAGTACCTGACTCACACACTCAATCCTAAAAATTGCTAAGGAAGCCAGCTGGACTATGAACTGTGACCAACAAACTATTTTTCCGTGTAGTGTATTCTTGGGCCTCCCCCACCTCTGTTAGACCATATACCAAGAAACCCAGGTTATAAACCTGAACACTTGAAGAATGAGACTTCTGTTTCATTTCACTCTGTCATTTACTGTGTACCCACATACTTGGGAACGGAGGGAAATAAACCCTGTGCTTTGCTTAGTTGTCTTTATTCTGGTTTGCACTTGTGTGACTGTTGACACTGGTTGTAAAATCCTAACAGCTGGGAAAAAACACAGCAGTAGAGATTCCTCCTTTTTAATGGTACAACACTTTAAAATGTTTGTTTTCTCAAAAAAAGAGAGCGAGCAAATAGAGTTTCTGTTAAATCTCCTTTTAATCTTTGCTTCCTTCGTGTTTCCTTACCTACCAGTTCTTGTAGTAATGGGCTGTAACCACCATGTAGTATAATGTATTTACACTCAGCGAGGAATGATGGCTTAGGGAGTTGTGCCACAGCATTCTGTCACCTACCGGGGCCTGTGTATGAATTGGAGTCTGAACTTTCTTTTTACTAAAGTTTATTATGATCTTATGTGATAACTAGAATAGGCATGAGAATAGCTGGGAGGACACAGGCAAAAGAAAATTGGAATTTAAATACACCAAAGTGAAGTGCAGGGGTTGTTGGTTTTGGTGTTGTTTTTTGTTGTTGGGTGTTGTTGTTTTGTTGTTTTTGTGGAGTGTATTTATGGCTCCATTTAGTAAGTACAATAATATACCTTAATTCTGTGTTGGTTGGTGTATACAATGAACACTATGGATGCAGTGCACTGTAATTTAAATATTGTGAGAGAGAAGTTTTCTTTAACCAATTTTGCCACCAGCAGAAATATATTTAGAATAATTTGTATATGAAACCTTGTAGAGTGAAAAAGTAATCTAAATTTTGAGCATGAATTTGTGACTTTAAGAGCATTATACTTGGGTGCATGCACTGCTGTGGATTCATTTAATTTTAG